TATGTTGTGATGGTGTCCCAATCATGTTGTGACGGTGTCTCGGTCATGTTTTGATGGTGCCCTGGTCATTTTGTGATGGTGTCCCGGTTATGTGATGATCGTGTCCAAGGAAGAGATGGTCGATGTGTTGAAAACAGCAGCTGTTTCCAGATTTTTCTTTTTGTCCCGGTTTGTATCTTGCTATTGGGGTCTCCAGTCAATCCCCATCTTGAACATCGACATGCAAAACATGGATTGTGTTTTCAAGAAGTCTCCTGTAGGTCGACGCCGGTACGCTCCTTTAGTTGCTGCCTCCCAAGCTCTTAAGTTGAGCATAGTGCAGCAGCAGTCTAGTTCTAAGTCAGAGCATATGTGTGACAATTTGTTTTTGCGTCACATGGCAGGCGCACAACAAGATTTCTCGGTCTGCACTTTGACCAGCCTTGGACAGTTGACAACATTCAAACCCAGCACAGTGTCTGTGTCTCTTCTTTGAATATGTGTCGGTCTCCTCTGCCAACCCCCGCTTTGATTGTTACATGATCAGCCACATTTGAGCAGCCGGCAGCAGCAAAGAACTTTTCGACAAAGCTCCTGAAGGAGTCCTCCCAGTTGGCAGGACACAACCCTTCGGCATAACTTGTAGACTTTTTCGCAGAAAGTATCTTCGATCTTGTGCATTGCCAATCAGGCACTCACACCCAGTGGCACTCAGTTGAATGATGAGGGCTGGATCTTCTGACCTTTTCCAGCTCGGTGATGTCTGTTTCGTACTCCATCTCCTGGGGTTCCAAAACGTGTGGCACTCATCAGGAAGGATGAAACATGTACCCACATGTAACCTTGAGCCAACTAAGATGCTTATGTCAGGGTTGTACGGTTGTACACATGGAAACACATTTCTATTTGTGAAGGATTTAGAGTTCACTCATCACATATGACAGAATCGTGCTAGGAATCCTCTTTAGAACATGAATAACATGAAAGTATTTGTTTGGGTCCATAGAGAAAAACTATCGAATTGCAGGAGTTGTTCTTTAGTTTCGAGTTCTTCTTCTTCGCCTTCTTTTCCTCTTCCTCTTCTTCATCTTCTTCTTTCAAGTTCAGTTTAACACCCTTGGACTCACAACATGACCGGGACACCATCACAACATGACCGGGACACCATCACAACATGACCTGGACACCATCACAACATGACCGGGACACCATCACAACATGACCACAACATGACCGGGACACCATCACAACACAACCGGGACACCATCACAACATGACCGGGACACCGTCACAACATGACCGGGACACCATCACAACATGATCGGGACACCATCACAACATGACCACAACATGACCGGGACACCATCACAACACAACCGGGACACCATCACAACATGACCAAGAAACCATCACAACATGACCGGGACACCGTCACAACATGACCGGGAAAACATCACAACATGCCCGGGACACCGTCACAACATGACCGGGACACCATCACAACATGACCGGGACACCGTCACAACATGACCGGGACACCATCACAACATGACCGAGACACCATCACAACATGACCGGGACACCGTCACAACATGACCGGGACACCATCACAACATGACCGAGACACCATCAAAACATGACCAGGACACCGTCAAAACATGACCAGGACACCGTCAAAACATGACCGGAACACCATCCACCCACCAGCTCTGATGGTCACCCGACGGCGTCCGTCCGCCTACAGTATTAGTTTCGCAAGACCCCATAACATGGCTATTGGGGAATCATTAGATGCCGATCTTTTGGAACTGTGTTTGAGTCAAATCAATTGCATCTTTCAAACAGTCTCCTGCATGTCATCATTCGGAGATGCAGGAATGAAGACATACTTGAAACCCATGGCGAAGGCTCAAAACGCAAAGCTTTTCCTTGTTGAAAAACACTCTCATTGACGGAGACTGGCCTGGGTCTGAACGCAAAGCGTAAGCCTCTAGTTTTGTGATGTTTAGGTAAATCTAAGATCTGGAAACTGCTTGTCCGATCTTGTCCCTTCATGTCCTTTCACATTCACAACTCAATTGACTTGCCCATATAGAGATTATAGAACATATTAGAGTAATATGCTGCTTCTGGGGCCGAGCAGTTCAACTTTTCATCCTGCATGATAAGAAGGCATGCTTGATCATCTTTGCCGAAAACAAGAAAACACATGAAAACAACACTGGTCGAGAAAGCAGCACTCCCACATGCAATTTCTATTTGTTTCCATTCGTCACATGGCTGCTTGGTGCTGTGCCCTGGATTCATTTGATGCAATGTACCTGTGCTCACTGCATCTTTCAGAATCGCAACTCTACATCCACTGAGCAAACATCAGCGGTGGGTGATCGGGCAGGTAGCCCAATGCAAACCTGTGAAACACACAGTCCCAGCAGCGGTTTGCTCTAGATCAAGTACTGTACACGCTGCCAAATGTACTCCACTTCGTCACGAAGCCGCCTTTGTCCGAGCAGTCGAACGAGATCTCACTTCCAAGGCAAAAGAATGATTCTGATGCGTTCGTCTCAGGAATGATCAAACAGCAGCTTGGCAGCCGCCAAATAGCTGAGGCCAGTATTGACTATCTCACAAGACTGTTTTAGTAGCACTCAATAGGATCAATCCAATTCAGCGACACCGAGTTGCACCAAAACCATGGCAATCAAGTTATTCTAGCAAATTCTCTCCCAAATCCCAATTTCAGTTCGTGCAACATGGACAAAGGAGCAGAAGCGATAAGAGCCATTGAGCCATTCCGATCTGTTCAAGCCGAGCCTTGCTGGCTGCTAGTAATATCAAAATCATCATTGCTGTCCTGGGAAATGGCTGGCGGAGAACCAGCATGTGACACAGAATCACCAGCAACAACATATCTATAACAACACATCTATGAATCCTAAATTTCCTGTATTAACTGCTAACTGCTGCCAACTAAGCCATGTTGCATGTTTCATGTTGGGCCTATCATGTTCTTCCATTTTTGGAATGGGATTCTAGATTGGCGGTCGTATCTCCCATTCCTTGCAAACTATTTAGATCTATTTAGGGTGATCAACAACCCAAGGTGGCTTGAAACTCAAATTGAATTGTCTCCGAAAATGATGGGTGAAGTCCTACAGCTCCGTTGCAACTGACAGAATCTAACAGCGATGGCCTCCAAACTGATAGCAATGGCCTGGATGCCAACGTAGAATTTAGCTACACGCTTTGTGTATGTAACCCACACCAACCTCAGCTTCTTTGGCTATCTTTGGCTCAGCTATTCAAACTCAAGCCTGAAACCCTTTCTGTTCCCAATCGCAGCTATTGACCCACCCCATCTTGAAAGGCATGCTTGACTAAAACCTTTCTGGGACTTCCCTTTACCAAAAGCAAATGCTGCCGATCAAAGACTATAAGCATTATCTTGAAATGCCTGTTCACGGAATGAGACTCTGCAGAACAGCAGTGTTGCACACCTGCCCTACTGCGGCCTTTTGAGATGCTCAGGCCAATACAGTGTTGGAATCTCAAGTAGCAAGACTAACCCGCATGATGAATGAACGAACTCAAAAAAAGACTCCGCTGATGGACCAAACATAGAAGTAGAAGTACATACAAAACTGAACACTTGTATGTTGTTCATCTGTAAAAACTCAACCCTCAATCTGTCTGGTTAAGGCTATGCAAGTCTCCTCGGCATCAAATGCGTAAGCTGCCCGCCCTGCTGTTACCGTGGCCTGCAACACCGCTTTCTCAGTACTCATCTGTCAGGTGACACTGAACTTTTCTGAGCTGCAACTGTCCAACATGCGATTACAGCTCAGGATGTTGACGACATGTGCATTTTTTGCTGGCCTACATATGTGCTTGTTTCTTGCGTGCTACAGTCGTATCTGTATGGATCGTGTATGTCAGCTGGGGACAAGGCGGCAAGGAGGAGAAGAAAGGGTGGACGGCACGGCCAAGCCTATCGTGGTCAGCCTTTTTGTCCTAAGAACAGAACCCAACAGTAAACTGGTTGGGGAAAAAGATGGACAAAGTACATACAACATCTGCGGAAAATATGCAGCACCTATGATGTTCCTGCGAACGAGTCGTTTATGTCTATTAATGTAAAACACCAAGCTGAAGGACTTCTGATGTCTCAAAGCTACAGAAGCAGTGAGCTGCAGGCAGGTGCAGCTGTTGAAAAACGTCCGTCTTTCAACTTTTAACACTTTTTTTGTGTTGCTCTGGGTCAACGTTTTATGCAGTTCTATTTTTTAAAGACCTGAACAGGCTTTCCGACCCTTCTCGGACCTCACCACTACACACCACCATGAACTCAATTAAACAAAAAATACTACAGTACTTATATAACTATACTAATTGTGTTATCGACAAAAAGCATTCTCGCTGTCCCAGTGCATGGAAGAGCCACTCTCTTTTGGTTAGATCCCAAACAAGGCCGCTTTCTAAAAGGATTGAAATCCTACACTCTGGGATAAATCATTTGATTGAATACGGTAAGCTGAAATACAAATATGGATCGAGATAAATATTCTATAAACATACGCATTTGTGGACATTTCACGTATTGAGTACGAGCAAGATTGTTTCCGTTCAAATCCTTGAACATGTGTACGTTCGCAGCTACAAGGCAAAAAGACATCGGAATGGAACTGGAACCGTACCTCAGCGAAGTGAAATGGATTGAGGTGGGAAGGTCACCGATCTTTCGTCAATGATATTTGGTCAAGCACTACAATGTGTATGTTCAGTTCTGCGTGCTTTATCTACGTAGCTTCTAAGTTCTGCTTGCAATGGATTCAACTCATGAATATCTCAAAGCAGGATTGTCACATCTGGAACAAGGTTCAAATGGATCAAAAACAATCAAAAGCACTTTGGATGGCACATGCAGTATACCAGCGCAGTCTCGTTCAGCTCATGTCCCAGCAATGAATGTGTATGCTTCGGGCTTCGGCGCATGTCTGTGTCGACATGCCTGGGTCCATCCCTTCAGGATCTCGTAAACCTTCCTTGGGTGCAAACGAAATATAATATATATATATATATTGATGGAAAAAAAACATATAAAGAAATGTCTCAAAGTTGTTCTTTGAGCCTGAACTTGACACCAAGATTCGAGGAGTCGACTCCAAGGAATGCGGCAGGCCTGTGAACGCTTTCTGATATTTTGTGTGCATTAGCATGGATGTTGATGTGCTGAACACAGCTGCAAGATCTTCTAGTCTCTTGCAACAGCACATGTTCTTCTGTCGGCCCCACCCTGTGCAGCAAATATCAAATGGCCGGAAGCCTGCCAGTCGCAGCTTTGTGCACTCAAGCCAGTTTCCAAACCCGTGCGACATGTGTCTCCTCATGCACCGCTGGCCTGACCAACTGGCCAGCAGCGGATCAGAACCATTTCGCAACAGAAATCCTGTTGCCCAAGCCCGACCTGGCATCAGTGGGACTATTGGACAGGGATCCTTCAAGCACCTTCAAGAAAGTGAGTGAAGTGAGACATAAAAACATCACCCTCATCTGAGAGCATGAGCCTGCAAAGGCAGCCCAGTGCAGTGGAGTCTCTCCAACATCGTCTTGTGCATTTACGTCCATGCCCATACCTGTATGCCAATTGTTTTGTTTTTCTGCTGACACCATACTGTATGCCCATACCTAGCATCATCTGCTTAGAGCAGGACGTACAAGCATCTCTACTCCTCTTGCACACGTGGCATTACCATCCTGAGGCAGCTGAGAATGCACCCCAAGTGCTATCTGGCAAGTCAAAGACTGCAGTTGACTCAAGCTCACTGCGACTCTAGATGACTTTTTGAACATGTATATACTGTATACTATATCTATACATATTGAAAACGAGGTTTCGACGTTTCGGAACGCCTTTTCACCTTGAGCCAAAACACGTCATGAGTCACGTGTCTGCAGTACTCTAGCGGAGTATTTATGGGCTGTACACGCAAACACTCCTCCTCTTGCAAAGCACTGTACTGCTGCGCAAGCTTAAAGAAAGTATGTGAAACTTCCCGCTGCTGAGCCACTTTCAGTTGTGGTAGTGGAGCTTGGCCAGGGACCTTACTCCAAAACATCCAACTGTCCTTTGCTTCGCTTGCTGAGGAATGCATACTGCAGGTCCTCCATGGTTTTGCGAAGCTGCACCCCAGGAACCGATTTGGTCAACACATCGGCTTTGTTCTTGACTCCTGGAACGTGGTGCACTTTCAAGTGGCCTTCGGCAACCCTTTCTTGCAACCATAGGTAGCGAGTTTGGATGTGTCTGGCTTTACCCAAACCCACTCGGTTCACAGTTCCTTTGGCTGCATTGGAATCGCCCTCTATGGTGACTTCCAAATCCAAACCAAGATCTGCGCATAGGCTTTGAAGTCCTAAGCCCGCAGATCCGCCCTTCACGAGTGCGTAGTATTCGCTCTCGCCTGTGGAAAGGGCTATGGTGGATTGGATGTTACTGCTGTGTTTCAGCACGTGTGTGCCATAAATGGCAACCATGCCAGTCGTGCTCTTGCGTGTCACAGCGTCTCCACCGTGGTCGGCGTCGACCTGGACCCTCAGCCTTGAGGGTGCCTGTTGTGAGCCAAAACATTGCCCAACATCAGGGTATTTCTTCAAGTACCTGATGAGACGTTTCAAGTCTGCAAGTTTGGCTTCTGTTGGCGACACCATACCTCGAGCAAGGTTCTTGACTGCGTGTCCAATATCGAGTCGATCTTGGGACAGATACGCAGCACGCATCGTAGCTGAACGATACTTCGACGCCTCGCTCTTATCAAGCAGCGGACTGCGGCTTTCCAGCATCTGCTGACCTGCCGACTTCTTGACGTCTGGTGATTCTACACCATTTGCCTTTTCCAAGCCAAATGCCTGGATCAAAAGATCAACATGTCTCCGATCGGCTTCGATCAC